AAGGTCAGTACAGATGTTCACCAGAGGGCAGTATAATATTTCCTAACAAGTGTGCTCATTTTCATCATAATTTCCAAAAAACTATAGACCATATTCAACCCTTTATGCCATGCTTTTGCACCAAATTTTGAACAGTTGATATTGAAATGTTCATTGTTCACCAGGAGTTGGTATAATATTGTTGTTGGCATAATGGTACAACGATTAACACTCTTGTAATCACACTGTTATGAGTTTCTGTCCTGATTGTACCATGGTGTGGTATCATTAGACAAGGTACTTAATGTGTACCACTTGTTTTTACCAAGAAGTAAATGAGGAAAGGAGATCTTCGGCATTTAACCCATGTGCACTTGTATATGGCAGGCAGCCAGGGTTGTATGTTCCTTGGTGAGTTGAGAGAGTTAAGAAGTGTGCTTTAGTATATTGATATTAATGTGTAACACACTTACAAATGACTTCGTATTTTAGTTCATGATATTAATAATAACAAGCTAATGATGAAGTATTATTCAACAGGCGTATACATTTCAATGCAGGGTTTAGCGTACTTTAACATGCAATTCATACATACCTTTTTATCAAGACCATGACCATTACCATTGGCCCTGGCTTTTACTGGTCTGCCTTTGATGACCGCATAACAGAATGCTGTAATCACCATCACAAATAAGAAGTAACTGGTATGCATCAAATGTAAATTAATTACATTTCTGTCAGCCTGCAAAATAGTCAAGAGCAAACTGAAGTTCACATTATCTACGCCCATGTTATGGGAACACTAAAAAACTATGATCCTCTAAGCTAATCTACAAGATACAAGATACCAAAAATGCTAATTATGTAGGATATTTGTATTTAAGGGAATTATTTTCCAAGCTCATATAAAAAAAACAAGCCATGCATGACACAGTCCTAGTTAGTTATAAAATTTAAGATATATAGTTTTGTTTACAGTAATACAGCTGGAACATAAACATGTCAGAGATATGAATCCAGAAGATGATGCTCGATTACGATTATTATTTAACATTAATATGTTTGACATTCAGTCATCTTGTATCTGATGATCAACTAAGTACTTGTCCATATTGTGAGATATTGCTCTTGAACAGCAACACTTAAGACAAAGTAGCCACCAGTCAGCCATTTTGAATACATCTGTTTATCCATAATATATAATGAATATATAAAATTTGAACATAATCAGTCAAAGCATGTCAGATATATGGCTCCAGAACAAAATGGCTACCAGTCAGCCATTTTGAATCCTACCTGGAAAACAAAATGTCATGCATCAAGGACAAATAATGTCTAATGTAAATACCAAATTTGAACAAAATCCATCCATAAATGACAAAGATCCGGTTTTGGAATGCCAGATGCTTGATTTTTGATGATTTTTTAGCACAAAAATGGCCAACATTCGTCAATTTTGAATCGAATTATAAAACCAATAAGGGGTGATCTCATATTCAAACAAATGGGTCAAACCTAGGTTAACCCAGTCTGCCCTTGCTAGCCCTAATCAGACCTACTAGACCTACAATATGCAAATTAGTAGTAGGTTTGAACCTAACCTCCGGATTAACTGCCCATTAACGCCCCCCTTGAAACAAACAACAGAGAACAAAGAAGACAGACCTAGGGAAACCTAGGTTTTCTTACAATACTGTTTCAGCCTGGTTGCAGTAGGAAAAAAAATAAGATGTATACTATGGAGCTCCATGTTCATACTGAGTGTTATATTTTGAAGTGTTAAGAATTACAGCAGCGATTTTTTTTCTTTGCAAGTCTTGTACATGTAAATGCTAATAAAAAACAAACTTGCATTTGTTTCACAAATCTATTTACAT